CCTTCTTGCTGCAAGGCAACAATGCTAACCAACTGCGCAGCCCGGATGTAATGAACTACTGTATATATTTTTCTACAGCAGTCGATCTAAAAGTGTCTACCAGAGCTGCTGGACCTGTTAACCCAGACAAGTTGGCGACACAGGGGCTCCGGCATCTGCTGGGCTCTTTTAAGCAACACAGTGGAAACTAGAAATTCAGTCTATGAGCCGTCATATTAGAAAATTGTCCATAAAGATTTAGAGTTAGACTGTGTTTTTAATTCTTCTTGCAAGGAGTGGTTCTCTCTCTTTATTCTTTATTTTAACCTAGATGTTTAGTGGACCCTTTAAGAGTTAACACTCCTATCTTTGTTGGCCCAAAGATGTCTTGTTTAATCAATGCACAACTACAGACCGTGTTTATACTTTTTCACTCTCTTCTTCTTTTTCCATGCATCCACTCCCATCTTCCCCTGCAGCTCAGTCATCCAGTGATAACATATTTTTTTTCCCTTCTCTTTCTGAGAGTTTTCAACCTGACAAATGAGGAGAGAGACGAGAACTGTTTCTTTTCAAAGTCCAGTCGGCACTTTGTGTGGACTCTGTTGCCCTGCTGCTGTGAGGGGATTTGCGTTTATCTTTATGCATATTAAGCAAAGGCAGAAAAAGATTATCTAATGTAGGGCAGCGTCACACCTTCAGTTCAATCCGGTGTCATTTCAGAACAGATACGCCGTGTTTAATCATTGAGACATATTATACCAGATTACTGTGGTATAAAACCATTTCATCAGTCGCAGTTAGTACGCTTAAACTATTGAACCCTGCGCTTGGCTTTTCTTTTGGTGAGATCATCCGTATTTGTTGGTTGTGGGGATGTTACTGTGTGTTCACGGCATGCAAATGTAAACTGTTTAGGTGTGCACGGCTTCGAAGAGACGATTTTATTTGCATAACCGTAAGAGACTGTGGCCGTGGCCTCAAACTGGCAGTAAAACCTGGCAAAACAGGAACGTCGAATCCGAGAAGAGCTTCGCTGAAAACACCTTTGCTGAGTGATGTTTAGATTTGCAAAGTCCGGTTGGCTTTTCCTGAACTGACGATGATCTCACCAACCAGCTGAGGCTGAGGAAAGTGAATTCACTGTTGTGTCTGGGTAACAAGATCGAAGCGAAGTAACCCTGAAAAGAAAGGTGCATTGTGGGACATAAAGGTTGGAGAATACTCTGGTCAACTCTGGCGTTCAATGATATTTAGTCGGTACTGACGAACCCTTAAGTTGGGCAAGAATATAACTCTTACACTCTGATACAAGGCAAAATGGATCTAAGCTTTCATGTTATTCACCAATTTTAATTTGATCGTGCAACGTTGTTGCTGAAATCTAAAGTCATCAATTGTCCAATGCTGGTGAGCATCCGTTGTCCGTTTTCCGTTGGTGTCGTCTTCTGCTGCTGCAGCCCGTCTGCTTCAAGGTCCGATTGAGTTTTTCAATCAGTCAAAGAGACTGATCCACATTCCTTGGTTGTAGTGACTGATTCCTTCAGTTGCTACTCCCTTTCTACCTTTTTCAGACACTTCTCTGTCAGCATAAGGTTCAGGTTTGGTTGAGTCCCAAAGGGGAAATTAATGTTACAGCAAGTAAGGAAAGAAAGGAAGGAAGGAAGAAAGGGAGAAAGAAAGAAAGGAAGAAAGAAGAAAGAAAGGAAAAGATGACATAAAGACTAAGAAACATACAATCGAAGTTCTAAAATTGAGGGATGACACAAATTTCAGTCCATACAAGATAGGGAGAGGACCAGCATTGTATCATCATCATCAACCGACAGTTCCTACGAACATCAGTACCATATGTGGAATAAATAAATGTAGAAATGAGCCAATCAATCCCATCGACGTGATGCAACTCGTCCTGTCCTCCATTAAAATGAGAAATCACTGTAGCCTCAAATTTTTACACAGAAAAGCTGAGCCAGAGGCCAGAAACAAGAACTCTGCTTGTAAAGGATGAGAGCTGTCAGCAAGAAGGACTCCAGTTTTTCCCGTTGATCTATCTATTGAACAACCGTGTGCAACTCCCAGAATATCATCACTGGTAACAATAGTTGCTCATGCTGCGCAACGTTTCAGCATTTCCAGAAAATTCGTGGCAGCTTTTCTTACCTGACGATTGAATTGTGTAAAGTCTTACATCAGAGGTGTGGAACAGCGATGCTCGTTCGCCAAAGGCAGAGAAACAGAGATCTGAAAGCCTGTCGGCTACGCCTTCGTGTGGGTCTCCTCTGCTTTTCAAACACAGTCGATTACGTTAAACATCCAAATCCTACTGACAGCTGGAGAGTTCACGTTGTCAGAAGAGATGGAAGTACAGATGTGGTGATAATCGTGCGCTGGCTCTGCACAGCGGAGGAATCCATTACCAAGCAGAAACTATGTCTGGAATTCTGTCCGACTTTGGATCATCGCACGTTCTCCAAAAGTGAAGAACTCCGGGTTCAAGTTGAAGTTTTAACCTTTGACCTGGTTCAACAGCTGCTGCTTAAACCTGCCAGGACTCAGCATGTTTGTGTGTGTGTGTGTGTGTGTGTGTGTGTGTGTGTGTGTGTGTGTGTGTGTGTGTGTGTGTATTTGTCAAACACAAGAGTCCTTTTTAAGCCTGACTGTGTCTCATTTGTTGTCTATAAATCATTTTTCAACATCTTTATCTCGCCTTTCCCCTAATTTAGATTTCTTTTTACCAACCCTATTGGGAATACTTTGTGATATTTTACAAATTATTTTACTTTCTGCCAAACTTTGACTGTTTTAGAGCAAACAGCATTGCATTTCACCAGTTCATGTTTTATATTTATTGATAGATTGTTTTTTTTAGGTTAAATATGGACAATCTGTTTCCCTTTGACATTTTTTTGTTCTATTGACTCCTATTGAAGATCACATTTCTAGTACTTGAATATTGCAGTTTAAATAAAATTGCATTTTTAAAACACTATAGTTCTGAAATAATTCTCCAAAAACAACATTGTTGTTTTTCTATGCTGAAGATATTTTCAAGTCCTGTAAATACAAGCTCTATCTGGGCAAATGGATAGAAAAACATGTACACTTTTGACATTTTTTAAACAGTTTTGCTAAAAAAATTAAAATAAAAATCAGAATAAAAATAAGAATCAATGCTGCTGCCTGTTTTTGAGGAAATGACAGGCGAAATATTTTAGATTTTAAACAATCTAGAGAGAGACTTTCACAGTCAAATAATCAGTAGGGTTTGTTGCGACACTAACAGAGTCCCTCCCAGCACGGAGCCAGTGAGCGTACGGTTCCACCCTGAGAAGTTAAAAAAGTTGCTCTGATCTCACTGTTGGAATTTCAGAGCTGATTCTACTCCTGTTGAAGTTGGTCGACACTATAAAATAAAATAAAAAATCATAGCAACAGTTGTTAAAACACTTGAACTCTATAAGATGAACGGCGTGTAATGGGAGTAAAATGAACTCTGAAGTTCCAGCAGTGATGTCAGTGCAACATTTACACTTTACAAGATGAGGTCATGCGTCGAATCGCTCCGTGTAAAAACCGACACTTACAGTCCGACTCTGTTTAGTTTGAAGACTTTTTCCACATACGCTGACATGTAGAGATGTCAGCGTAGGGACAAAATATGTTATATCCATGTCTTATCAGTTTATTACATTAAGCATATTCAGTTTATACACAAAGAGAAAACCAAAAGATGCAGTATTTTGTAAGACAAGTTGTATTTACAGAAGCACTTTTAATCATTTCTTTAAACCTGAAAGTAATGGTAAAGAAATGTTTTTTTTAATTTTTCTTTTATTTGCCATAAGCAGAGCATAAAATGAAATGAATTTGGAATAAAGCTGATATTTACATTCTGTCTCTTCTTGTCAGAACGGATGCAGACAGCATGCATCACATTCCAGGTGGCAGACGTTAAACACGGACCGACTTACAGCCTCATCTGGCCTCCAACAGCAACAGGACAGCAGCGAGCGGCTACTTCCTGGTTGATTTGCATAACTGGACATGAAACGCCAGATCTGACCTCTGATCCTGATTGGCTCCTTCGTGTCTAGACCTCATTCTGTCATGTGACGTCTGGGCTAGAAGCTGTGATTAATGACACTCAGGGAGAATAACTGCACTCCAGTGTTGCAACGTTTGAATCAACACGTTAACGGAAAACTGGCCGATAAGGTTTGGTGTGTGTGTATCTGTGATGTACAGCCTGTTGAGAAACACGGTTTATTTTATTTTTTCTTGTATGCCTGATAGCTGTTTATAGCAAATGTTTATACTTGCAATAAATTCTGCTAATGCAAAGCGTTTCATCCCTAAAGACTAAACAAATGTGAAAACGAGTTAGGTCAGTCGATATCAATCAGAAGCCACTCTTCAGATACGCTTAGGCAACATAATGAAAAGACCAGAAACAGTTTGAGAGAAAGCCAGATGAATCAGAGCGCTGTGCTTCATTTGTGCTCTGAAGTTGGAATTTCCCAGTTCCGGGTCACACAAATCACCTGAATGCAGCATCCAGCTCCACCTCTGCACTGACGTCAGAAATCTCACTTTTCCATCACTGATCTCGAAAACCAATATGGATGCCATGTGTGTGTGAGGAGTAAGGAGTTGCTTTAATAAACGGTAAAATTTGCACAACAGTTAATTTATGTATCCTGAAATGAATTACAGGCATATTGTGTAACCTCTGCATGTAGGGGTTGCATGCATTAAAGCCAATGAATTATCATGTTGTAGCGTAAGTAATGTACCCTGCTGCTAGTAAACATGAAAAACCTAACATGAGCCAAGCGTTGGTAAATTTCCTTTCCCATGACCTCCAAAGGACTGTAAAATTTGGTTTAGTTAAAAACCACAAAGCATTTCACAGTTTCTCTAGTCTATAAGGGCACAACAAAAACCCATGTTTAAAATAGTTTGGAAATAAACAATCTGGGTGTTCCTCCCAAAAACATCGCTATGTGTTGGTAACATCAGGCTGCTGTGGAGAATTACTGCTACCTGTTGCATAACTGTGCTGTCCAGGAACCTGACGGAGGAAAACGCAGAGCGGTGCAGGGGTCAGTAGAAAACTCCACGCTGTAAATTCTGCTCCTGCAAATATGTCATTAAACATTAAATTATCTTTTGCAATCAACCAAAAAACACAAAAACAAGGAGTTTAAAGACGTTTAGCTTTAAGATGTGTCACCATTTATGCGACCAAAGATATAATCAGTAGCTGCATTTCCATGAACTACAGAAATGCGCAACGTGAAATTACGAAAATAAATGCGCTTAATAGAAACATATCAATTAAAAAAAAAAAAAACTCACTATTTTTGCTGAAATGTTTTGGCACTAAGTTGAAGTGTTTTTTTCGGGGAGGGAGGGGGGGTATGGAAACAGATGTATTTTGCCGAACTGCAACGGAAGCATTCTTTTCAGCGTCACACGAGTCACGTGATCATCCTCCGGATGTTATTACTTGCGTAAACCACGAAGAAGAAGAGAACAGGAAGTAGACTTCTTTGTGGTTTGTAGCTTGTTTTTGTATTTTTCGGAGAATGTGCAGCTGGAGCGGCCGTTCACAGAAAGCTACGTGTAATTCAAAGTGTTTTGTAAAGTCTTCTGTAAAACCAGCGACAACAATTTCCCCAGACTGTCATCGGTAGCCGCTCCCAAGTATAAATGGCTTGTCACTCCAAACGTCTCCTCTGATTGGCTGATAGATAATGAGCTCTAGCACCGTGGCTGAATTATGAATTTAATCTCATACATCTCTGCAATGATTTTTGATGACTTATCGTGTGAACAAGCTTATTCACGTGTGATTTAAATTTTATTTCCTTTCTAATGAAAGCAACATAATCGCAAAATTGTGTTTTTTCAACAATGCACACAATTGCAATAGCAATGCAGCTTCACCGCTGTCAGTGAATGAGCGATCCACTCATTCACCAGTTTGCAGCCACTTAGTAAAGTCAGACAAAGGAATGCGACATTTAGTGAGAGGAGTTAACAAAATGTCGCCTGCGTCTCCGACGGCCTTTTCACCCTAGGGTCACGCTTAAAACCTCCTCCTGATCCACCGACGGTGGACGATGGAAGCCGAGCCGCAGTCGGCGTACTGGCTGATCCCAAAGCTCTTTAACGGGGTCGGGGTCAGGGCACCGCGCAAACCAGGCAAGTTCATCCACACCACGCCGAGTAAAACCCGCGTCTTTATTTACGAAGATAAGCGCGCTGATAATCTCAACTACACCCCAGCGAACACATTGGTGAGTGACAGCTGGTGACCCTTTGTGTAACCCTGACGACTGCCGGACCGGGTAGCACAGAAAGTGGGTCAGGACGGACAGATTACGCTCAATCAGAGATTGAGGCGTGCCTGGTCAGTGGCTTCCCCGTTCCTTCATTGCTCAACTCCAGATTTGAAGCAATGATATACGCTGACGCCAAAATCCTCTTAGAGCCACTTACAATGATGACATTAATCAGATTTGGTGGTATTTGTAAATCAAATCCTCAGAGGGATTTATGTAGCGAGGTAAACCAAAATTCTCCCACCCCCGTTTTTATTGTTGTAGCTTCAAAACATTTTGTCTGATAATATACGATTGGGATTATAGCCACTGCTGCAGGATAAAACCCTCAGAGACGCACAGTTCTGGACAGAGAGCTTGAAAAATAAGAATTTGGTGCAAAATTTATTGAGAATTTTCAATTGTATGCAGAGTTAAATGTATACGTGTACCACTTTTGTAGCTACCAGCATGACCCTATGGCTCATTTTGTTGGTATTTTGGCAACAAGTCAACTTCTAAACATAATCCACAGATTTTCAATAGATTGTTAAGGTTGGGTCTTTCCAAAAGCTTAATGCTAGCCTGGTTTAGCTATTCTAAAGTCAGCTTTCATGTGTATTTGGGATCATTATTCCAACAGTTTTGTTTGGTTTTATTCCAGCTTTCAATCATCTGACCCAAACTGTCACCCTCAGATCAGTGGAACAGGAACAACCCAAAACAAGTTTCGATGTCTAGTGTAAAATGAAATGAACATCAGCGTGGACACCAACCAAGAAAGACGTGCTTGGATGCAAAAATCAACTCCTCCTTTAAGCTCAACTGAAACGGTGCAGCTGCCCTCATCAACGAGCCTTTTGGAGAAAGTTGTGTGGTCAGACAAAAACAAAGATTGAACCTCTTGGTCAAAAAGATAAGTGTATTTATTGTACTTGGGGCTTTTAGTCATAAGATCCCCGTACTAACTGTTGAGCACGGTGGTGGTCACATCATGCTGATGTAAAAAGGAGAACTGCCTCAAAGTTCTTAGACTTCTCCTCAAAAACAGCAGCTAAACAGTCGAATCGTTGGTTTGTTAACAGGACCATCATCCTAAGATCAAAGCTATTTCTGGAGTGGATGGAGCAAGTTTATATTAAACTGCTAAAACAGTTAAATAGTCCCTTATGTGTTTTAATGAATAGAAATGGATTTCTGTCATATCTCATATTTTTTTCCCTTGTCACAAAGTCACAGATCCCAGATAAACTTTGCTCCTACCTCACAAAAATATTCATAGCCCTTGAACTTTTTCACACTTTTATGCATTAAAATCATAAAACTAAATCTGTCTTCCTGTGATGTCATATGACTGACCTACACAAATACATTTTCAAATTAATATGACACGTTACGGTTGTCAAAATGTGTCCAAGTAATAATCGGAAAAGAGCGGAGGGCATTTTTGTACTTACGCCCCCTAAATGTTGTACTAATTTATTTTTGTTTCCTGTTTAAACAACTCCTAACGGATACTGTCACAACTGCTTTGCAGACGCACTAACAAGACTTGGCAGCAAATCAAAACATTAAATGTGCCAGATTAATTCATTCAATAAAGTACAATGTTTTCTGACAGACCAAAAAAATGCAACTCAACATCAACAAACACTCCGGTAACATCCAGGAGAGTTCGGTAAGGCCCTCACATACAGAGAGTATGGGCAGCTCTAACTAGCAGAAAACCTCCATAAAGGGGTTAACGGTTGTGAAATAACCCCATGTGACCATGGGATGGTGTGAAAAATGTGTGGTGATGAAGATTTCAGCTGCACCTCATAAATACAGACGTTCCACTGGAAGGTCTTGCTTCACGTTCCAGGGACTCGCATGGACAGACGCACTCTTGTCCTGGGTGGTGGACGTAGTAGTCACTTGTTTGTCTTGCAAGTTAAAGGAAAAGTTTGTTCATGTGGCCAACAGATCATTGAATTGATTCATTTTAATGAATGTAAAACGTTAATATGTAAAGCTACATATTAAAATATCTCTCTTTTTCTCCCAATTATGCCGTTTATTCGTATCCCAAACACCCTTTCACCCTGCAGTGTTGACATCGTGTGTTCAATGGCTTAATTGTGGAAGCGTCTGGGATTGGCTGTTTGAATTTTTTACATTTTTATGTCACACTGAGCATGTAGCAACACAGTAAAAAAAACTTTTATTAGCATTCAGGACTTAAAAGGAAGAGAATTTGCTCAGTGAGAGGAAGCAACTACTGCTGGCGAGTAAGGATGTCAGAAAACCTGCAAGGAAGAACATCTTATTTCTTCAACGCACAAAGCAAATAAGCCACACTAAGTGTGACTCACTGAATGCGTCACTCATGAAAGGAGCAGAGTGGGAGTAGCAGGTGTTAAAGGGGAGGTCGCTGGGTTTGAAGCCTTGATGTTGGCTCAGTGACATCAGCGGTTTGTGATCCCTTCTCCCCGTATGTCACTTCCTCACCTCCTCGTGACATGCAGGTTGGAGGTTGTGCTGTTTTTCCAGTGCCATGCATTTGAAGAAAAATTCAGATGCTGCAGTGGAATAGATTTTACTTTAATGTTAATGAAACATCTACATTTTGAAAGGTGTATTGTGTAAAAAATTGATTTTTAGAGCTTCACACCATGTTAATGTTCTCTCATTAAAAACACACCAGGAGGGTTGCTTTGACTCTTTCATGCACGTTTGAGGAATCCTTTGATCTCTCATGGCAACCGTTCAGCTGTGTAAAACACCTGGTTGGGCTTAGCCCCGCCTTTGACAACAAAGCTCCTCCCCGGAGCTGCAGTTTCCCACTAAGCTCCTTCAAACTAGCAAACACCTGGTGGAACTGCGCATCTGCTGAGCTCATGATAGGTCTCAGTGAAATGCTTGTAAAAATGTTGCTAAAGGGTTAACGGAGGAATGTTGTGCTTAAGGAAGAGTGTCGGAAACAGCAGGAGCTTCAGAAACCCAGTAACAAGGCATAAAATTGCAAAGTCAAATTTAATTTAAGTCATTGGGTATGTATAGCAACTTTATAAAGTAACAGTTATTCGATTGTGCTACTAAATGGCACAATGTGCCTAGTAAGTACATAACGCTGGCTCTTTCAATGATTTAAAGGAACATTTTATGCTAAAGATGTAATCGCCCTCTTGAGTTAAAAAACATCTACAGCAGACAACGTTAAAACTACAAGCATGTCATGACCGTAAGGAGAAACATGTCACACCTGAGTGGAAAGCATTCTTGTTGCATCTCATCAGAGCCCTTTTTTGCTTTTCCAATCTCATATAATGTGTTTTTCCAAATATAAGCATCAACACATTAAAGTCTTCATACTGCTCGGCATATGAGAGCAGCACATTTCCAACGACAACAGTACTCAACAGTAAAAAAAAAAATAAAAAAAATATTCAAATGTGTCGCATGACCCTTTCGTGTACTTACAAAATAACAAATTCAAATGTCTTTGCTACAATGTGAACACCAAAGGAATACTATCACAGGGTTCCCCTGGTAGAAGAAAAGAGACCTTCAAAGAGCTCTTTATTTATTTCATGGGGCGCATGGATCAGAGGGCCGGCAGTGGCGGCGAAGAGGGAGATAAAAGTGAAGCGTAATCCTTTTCCTTTATGCCAGGAAAGGTCACATTCATGCCTTTCCGCCCACTTCCTCTACCTCATACATTTAGGAGAGGGGGGTCAGATGCACTCTCATGAAAATAATGAATTGATTTTCTATATGAATGTACTTAGCTGTATTTGTTCAGTTGCATAATGCTACCTCTAAGCCATCATGTAAACCGTAAGCTTTTGTGGCTGGATTACACATAAACTAAAAAGAAGAAGAAGAAGAAGAAGAAGAAGAAAAAGAAAAACAACAATACAGAACTGGGCAGCCACATACCCCATTGTGTACAGATAGAAAAAACACAGTGGCTCTCAGGAAAAGCTAATACAGCTACTCCAAAATAAACAGAGTTTTAATTGGGTCTTATGTAAATCTCCAAGGCACGGCCATGTACACACACAGACTTTATTCGTTGTCTAACAGGTATTGTCTCTGCGCCAGTTTTCCTTTGGTGGTCGCTGCCCTCGGACATAAATATTTTTTTGTATTATATAAAGAGACTTTGTTGGAGGTCTTAAACTGTTCAAGCTGAAACAGTAACTTGTGTTATTTACATGTAAAAACGTCAAACAAAAACTGACATGTTTTCTGTTGCCGTGTACCTCCGCGGAGTCCCGTAAACCCACATGATCGCATTTTGTGGGCTCCGGCTTTGGCAGAACCAAATCACGACGCAGGTTTTGATCCGCCTCCGCGTGAGACTGCGCAATGAAAGCGCGAGTAATTTCGTGACCCGGTATTTTTCGAGCCTTAATCAGCGTCAGATGCAAAAAAAAAAAAAAAAAAAAAAAGGGGGGGGGGGGGGAGTTTATCAATTGTTGACGCAACCGAGCCACTTTGGCG